TATTCAGATTTCACCATTTTTACGTGCACTCGTGTTTGTGTATGGTTAGTTCTATACAATTTTATCACATGTGTAGATAGCATACGTGACCAACACTACAGTCACTATAAAAAATGGTTCCAGGACAAGGATCCCTCATGCTACTATTTTACAGCTACAGATACCTCCTCTTCCTCCCTTCTCCCTAATCCCTGGCACCTCCTCATCTGTTCTCTATCTATAACCTCCTCTTTTCAAGAATGTTATGAATGGAATCTACAGATTGTAACCTTTTGAGATTGATTTTTTTTCACTTCAGCACAATTCCCTTGAGACCCATCCAAATTGTTGCCTGTGTCAACAGTTCCTTCACTTTTATTGCTGAGTAGTATTTAGTGATATGGATGTGCCATGGTTTGTTTAACCACTCCCTGTTCAAAGTCTGGGTTGTTTCCAGGCTTGGCTATTACAAACAATGCTTTCTGCAGATCTTTGTGTATAAAAGTTTTTATTTCTCTGGAATACATGCACAGTGACATGCAGATTTGAGACTTAAAACTGCAAGAGTCATTTGGCTACTTCATCAAAGAGCCCTTCCCTAGTCACCCAATATAAAGTAGCACCCAAATCAGTCTTTTCCCTTCATATACTGTTTCATTTATTTTCATGGCATATTTCATACTATTTATTTATTTCTTGGTTTGCTTATTGTCTATCTTTCCCTCTAGAAAGTAACTCCATGAGCCCTGAAACTTAGTCTGTTTTGTTCCACAGTGTCCTGGAACCTAGAAGATTGGCACATAGTTGATACACCACAAACATTTGTTGAATTAAGTAATGAATGAATAAATTTCAGACATCTTCCTATATTAGTAAATCTAACTCATTTTGGGGGTATCCACATTGCATTCCATTATATGCTTGCATAGTGTTTTCATTAACTTGTCCCTTGTTGAAGCATTTTTATGTTGCTTCCAGTGTCTTACAAATCCAAACAATGCTGTAATGACAGTCCTTGTATAATCAAACATGTTTGTGCAGATGGAAGAGAAGTAGATTAGAGGGTTCAGAGAGTATGCACATTTAAAATTTTTTAGCTATTGTCAAATTGCTTTCATAGTGTTCTCCCATCTTACATTCCCAGTGTATTGAAATTCCTCACATTCTCACCAATACTGAGTGCTGTCAAAGTTTTTAGTCTTTGCTAATCTCATAAATTAAAATCAATATTACCTCTTTCACATGTTTATTGACCATTTGTCATTTTCCCCTGAACCATTTGTTCACATATTTTTTTTCATTTTTCGTCTCTTTTTGCTTTTATTTGTAAAAGCATTTTTGCCTCTCAAGGAAATTCATCCTCTATTTGCTAAAAATATATTTTCACAATTTTCCTTTAAATATTTAATTGGCATATAT